AAAGGTACTACCCAAAAATTTAACTTGACTGTCAAGTATTTTTACAACCAATTTTTAAATTTTAAACAACCCGTTTTAGCTTCTATGAGGGTGCTGGGGAGTTTGTTCCACTCACCCACAATTCTATTATAAACCATGTTTCCTTATCCTTCCCTGAATCTAAATTTTTTTCCAATTTAAAAACCAATTCTTCAGTCTTTCTTGGTACTTTTTTTTAGCACAATATGTACATTCCCTTTATTCATTCCTTTTTCCTTTATACCCTCAGTCATATCCCCCCTAATTCTAAAACCTTTCTGGGTTTAAAGATTCAGGGCCCCTCAGTCTATCTCATAGGGAAGATTTTCTGATACTGGGATAAACTTTTTCATCCTCCTTTTTACTTTTTTCTACATGAAATCCATTCTGTAATACGGTGACCAGATGTGCGCATAATCTAAATGAGCCAAACCCAAAGAGATATAGAGTTGAAGAACAATCTGAAGACTCCTATTATTTATGCTTCATGATATGAAGCCAAGGATTCTGTTAGCTTTATTGCGAACACTAAGGCACTGTTGTTTTGGGTTTTAGATTACTGCTAACCAGAACTCCTAAATCCTTTTCGCAGTCAGCAATATTAAGAACTACATTATTTTGTTAATATATGTAGCATAGTTATTTTCTTCTTCCTCACTGACCGTAGGGTAAGAATAGGTGGGTTTCTTGTGTCTGGAGGCTTTGGTTTAAAAATAGAAAATCTGAAGAGATGCATTGAAAGGGTTTATTATTTTGAGGGATTTTTGGGAAGTTAAAAACAAGGCGATAGGAGTGAGGAAGTGGGTGGACGTGACGGATGACGGAGAAAGAAGTGTGGTGGGGAGAAAGGAAGCACGAAAGAGGACCCGGAAGGAAAAATGTATGTGGGGGCATGCAAAAAGAATGAAAGATGGTCAGGTGGGGCGGCAAGGGATTACTGTGAGGATGAAAAGAAGAGGTATAGAGCAAGGGATAACAAGAGAGAGAGAGAGAGAGAGAGAGAGAAGAGAGAGAGAGAGAGTATTGAGAACATGAAAAAGACAGCAGTGGGCTTGGGAAGTCCTACCGACTCCATCTACTGAAATACCTAGTATTTCAATAAATATTAAAAAATGTCGTGAGAGGGGCAAGGACAAAAAGCAGAAGTTCTCTCCCTACCCTCCATTCCTCCCGTCCTCCGCCGGCACGGAAACGGAGACACATAATACGTCAATATTAGGAAAATGGAAATTTAAAGAGAGATTTAAGTGGAGAAAAGACGTAAGCAACAACTCTTAATTTAGTACCGTCTCTGTCTTGTTGTACATTTATTATTCCCCAGAAGATGAACTACTGGTACACTGTGTGTACCAGTACCACTGTGTATACCAGTAGTTCTGCTTCAGGCTACCCCCGTTTTGCTATGGTATCACAACTTTCACGTCTGCAAATATTACTATCACTGATTCGGTTGCCTTGTTGTCATCTGATGGTCCTGATGCAGTAGCAACAGACATCAGGAATCTGTTAACTTCAGATTTCCCCATTGTTGTGTGCAGGGCTACTACGTGTGAGGTAAAAGGACACATGTGCAGCTAATGAGACATTTTTATTGTAGTAACGTTTCGCTCTCCGGAGTTTTTTCGGTAACTCTACTACAATATTATTAGTGCAGTGTTGTAATAAATTGTATACAAACTAAGGAGTTAATTTTAAGGAGAAAGTACTCCATAAATGTATGAATAATGTCAGTGTTTTAAGGTTGACAGGTATGGAACACGATCGTGGGACAGGTATAAGACACGGTCAGTGGGACAGGTATAAGACACGGTCAGTGGGACAGGTATAAGACACTGTCATGGGACAGATATGAGACAAACAAGTGAGGGTGTCGTGTGGCGTCACTAGGGAACATCACTGGGAAGGTGTTATGAAGCCAGGTTTTAGCTATGTAATGTGTGATAAACTGGGGATTCTGAATCTGCACTCTCCAGAAAGACGTTTGAATTATGGGGGGTTGATTGAGGTGTTTTAAATAAAAAAAAAGGAATAAATAAAGAGAATGTAAATAGCGTGTTAAAAATATCTAGCCAAGATGGACTCGCAGCAATGGGTTTTAAGTTGGAAAAATTCAGATTCAGGAAGGTTATAGGAAAGTACTGGTTTGGTAAAAAGAGTTGTGGATGAGTGGAACCCAAACTCCCGAGTACCGTCCCTAGAAGCTAAACGTTGTATAATTTTAAAATGGGTTAGGTAAATGCATGTGTGGGTGGGTGTGAGTTGGACCTGACTATCTTGTGCTGGAAGGTCTGATGCCGTGCTCCTTCCTTTCTTATATTTTTTCTTTTTGTTGTAATGCTTAGCCATAATTTGTTTTTCTGATTTTGTTGTACTCTTAAGTTGGCCCTTGCATGGACATGGCCCTGGTATTTATGTGATGCCTATGTGAGTTGTGGCGAGTACAAAATTAATGTTTTTTTTTTACCTGCAGGCTGGAAGCTGGCAGAGGAGGGAGGGAAGGAATGGAGACCCACTCTTGTGAGTATGACTTAAGTTTAATCAACTAGTAGCAGTGTACTAGTGTGTTATTATGTAACATGGGAAATGTGCTGAAGGCAGGTTTTGTGTTGTATATATTATGTAGTATATTTTTCTAAGGGTGAGTTTATCTCTTTCCTGATGATGAACCAAGTATTGACCACCTGTTTACCTTTTTGTGTAGTTACTGAACCATGCAAGTTACATCCGTGGTTCTAAACCTTGTTTGAGGTACTGAACCCCACAAGTTTAATCCGTGGTTCTTAACCTTGTTTGAGGTACTGAACCCCCACAACTTTCATCCGTGGTTCTAAACCTTGTTTGAGGTACTGAACCCCACAACTTTCATCCGTGGTTCTTAATCTTGTTTGAGGTACTGAACCTCACAAGTTTCATCCGTGGTTCTAAACCTTGTTTGAGGTACTGAACCCCACAAGTTTCATCCGTGGTTCTTAACCTTGTTTGAGGTACTGAACCCCACAAGTTTCATCCGTGGTTCTTAACCTTGTTTGAGGTACTGAACCCCGAAAGTTTCATTCCAGCATTAACCGAACCTTCGTAATCGGAAAAATGAAATATGATTTCTACGAGATATGATTCCAATCAAACCTGCAAACCAATGACTTTTGGTGTTGCCTTTCACAGGCAAGTTCAGAGACGCTCGGCTTCACCTTGGCAAGTGTCACTTTAACATTATTTTGGCAACAGTCTGTTCCTTTCCTTCGTTTGGATGTCTATCATCCTGGTAAAGGATTGCTCGCAAATATACGTTGCAACAAACGGCGTGAGTATCTCAAGGGCTTTCTTAGCAATAAGAGGGTGTTTCATAAGAGGGTGCTTCATAAGAGGATGCTTCATAAGAGGGTGCTTCATAAGAGGGTGCTTCATAAGAGGGTGCTTCATAAGAGGGTGCTTCATAAGAGGGTGCTTCATAAGAGGGTGCCTACATAAGAGGATGCTTCATAGAGGGTGCTTCATAAGAGGATGCTTCATAAGAGGGTGCTTCATAAGAGGGTGCTTCATAAGAGGGTGCTTCATAAGAGGGTGCTTCATAAGAGGGTGCTTCATAAGAGGGTGCTTCATAAGAGGGTGCTTCATAAGAGGATGCTTCATAAGAGGGTGCTTCATAAGAGGATGCTTCATAAGAGGGTGCTTCATAAGAGGATGCTTCATAAGAGGGTGCTACATAAGAGGATGCTTCATAAGAGGATGCTTCATAAGAGGGTGCTTCATAAGAGGATGCTACATAAGAGGGTGCTTCATAAGAGGGTGCTTCATAAGAGGGTGCTACATAAGAGGATGTTTCATAAGAGGGTGCTTCATAAGAGGGTGCTTCATAAGAGGATGCTTCATAAGAGGGTGCTACATAAGAGGGTGCTTCATAAGAGGATGCTTCATAAGAGGGTGCTACATAAGAGGGTGCTTCATAAGAGGGTGCTTCATAAGAGGATGCTTCATAAGAGGGTGCTACATAAGAGGATGCTTCATAAGAGGGTGCTTCATAAGAGGATGCTTCATAAGAGGGTGCTACATAAGAGGATGCTTCATAAGAGGGTGCTTCATAAGAGGGTGCTTCATAAGAGGATGCTTCATAAGAGGGTGCTACATAAGAGGGTGCTACATAAGAGGGCGCTTCATAAGAGGGTGCTACATAAGAGGGTGCTTCATAAGAGGGTGCTACATAAGAGGGTGCTTCATAAGAGGGTGCCTCATAAGAGGGTGCCTCATAAGAGGGTGCTACATAAGAGGGTGCTACATAAGAAGGTGCTACATAAGAGGGTGCTTCATAAGAGGGTGCTTCATAAGAGGGTGCTTCATAAGAGGGTGCTTCATAAGAGGGTGCTACATAAGAGGGTGCTACATAAGAGGGTGCTACATAAGAGGGTGCTACATAAGAGGGTGCTTCATAAGAGGGTGCTTCATAAGAGGGTGTCTCATAAGAGGGTGCTCATAAGAGGGTGCTTCATAAGAGGGTGCTTCATAAGAGGGTGCTTCATAAGGGGTGCTTCATAAGAGGGTGCTTCATAAGAGGGTGCTTCATAAGAGGGTGCTTCATAAGATGGGTGCTTCATAAGAAGGGTGCTTCATAAGAGGATGCTTCATAAGAGAGGTGTCTCATAAGAGGGTGCTCATAAGAGGTGCTTCATAAGAGGGTGCTCATAAGAGGTGCTTCATAAGAGGGTGCTTCATAAGAAGGTGCTTCATAAGAGGGTGCTTCATAAGAGGGGTGCTTATAAGGGGGTCATATAGAAGGTGCTTCATAAGAGGGTGCTTCATAAGGTGCTTCATAAGAGGGTGCTACATAAGAGGATGCTTCTAAGAGGGTGCTTCATAAGAAGGTGCTTCATAAGAGGGTGCTTCATAAGAGGGTGTACATAAGAGGGTGCTTCATAAGAAGGTGCTTCATAAGAGGGTGCTTCATAAGAAGGTGCTTCATAAGAGGGTGCTTCATATAGAAGGTGCTTCTAAGAGGGTGCTTCATAAGAGGGTTTTCTTCAAAGAGGGTGCTCATAAGAGGGGGCTTCATAAAGAGGGTGCTTCATAAGAGGGGGCTGCATAAAAGGGTGCTTTCATAAGAGGGTGCTTCATAAGAGGGTGCCCCATAAGGGGTACCTCATAAGAGGGTGCTACATAGAGGGTGCTTCATAAGAGGGTCCTCATAAGAGGGTGATACATAAGTGGGGGCTTCATAAGAGGGTGCTTCATAAGAGGGTGCTTCATAAGAGGGTGCTTCATAAGAGGGTTTCTATATAAGAGGGTGCTTATAAGAGGGTGCTTCATAAGAGGGTGCTACATAAAAGGGTGCTTCATAAGAGGGTGCTATATAAGAGGGGGGCTATATAAGAGGGGTGCTATATAAGAGGGTGCTATATAAGGGGTGCTTCATAAGAGGGTTGCTTCATAAGAGGGTGCTACATAAGAGGGTGCTTCATAAGAGGGTGCTATATAAGAGGGTGCTATATAAGAGGGTGCATATAAGAGGGTGCTATATTTAAAAGGGTGCTATATAAGAGGGTGCTATATAAGAGGGTGCTTTATAAGGGGTGCTTCATAAGAGTGGGGCTAAAATAAGAGGGGCTTCATAAGAGGGGCTATAAAGAGGGTTTCTACATAAGAGGGTGCTTCATAAGAGGTGCTATATAAGAGGGTGCTATATAGAGGGTGCTATATAAGAGGGTGCTATATAAGAGGGTGCTATATAAGAGGGTGCTTCATAAGAGGGTGCTACGTAAGAGGGTGCTACGTAAGAGGGTGCTTCATAAGAGGGTGCCTCATAAGAGGGTGCTACATAAGAGGGTGCTACTATAAGAGGGTGCTACATAAGAGGGTGTTTCATAAGAGGGTGCCTCATAAGAGAGTGCTTCATAAGAGAGTGCTTCATAAGAGGGTGCTTCATAAGAGGGTGCTTCATAAGAGGGTGCTAATAAGAGGGTGCTTCATAAGGGGTGCTACATAAGAGGGTGCTTCATAAGAGGGTGCTATATAAGAGGGTGCTTCATAAGAGGGTGCTTCATAAGAGGGTGCTTCATAAGAGGGTGCTTCATAAGAGGGTGCTACATAAGAGGGTGCTACATAAGAGGGTGCTACATAAGAGGGTGCTACATAAGAGGGTGCTTCATAAGAGGGTGCTTCATAAGAGGGTGCTTCATAAGAGGGTGCTTCATAAGAGGGTGCTACATAAGAGGGTGCTACATAAGAGGGTGCTTCATAAGAGGGTGCCTCATAAGAGGGTGCTACATAAGAGGGTGCTTCATAAGAGGGTGCTTCATAAGAGGGTGCTACATAAGAGGGTGCTTCATAAGAGGGTGCTTCATAAGAGGGTGCTTCATAAGAGGGTGCCTCATAAGAGGGTGCCTCATAAGAGGGTGCTACATAAGAGGGTGCTACATAAGAGGGTGCTACATAAGAGGGTGCTACATAAGAGGGTGCTACATAAGAGGGTGCTACATAAGAGGGTGCTACATAAGAGGGTGCTACATAAGAGGGTGCTACATAAGAGGGTGCTTCATAAGAGGGTGCTTCATAAGAGGGTGCTGTGTTGAGACAATCATATTACGACAATCCATTGACACACACTCAGTTCACGGAGTTCACTACCATATCACAAGATAGGCACATGGCTTCTGCCGAAAAGAAGAGGTCACGATGCTCCATGAATACGACGGAGGACTCAGATTTGGAAATGTGGGGCGAAATTCTAGCGAAGAAGTTGGGAGAGGAAGAGGAAGATCCTGCTCACATTGTAGCAGATCTGACAGTCCCAACCATGGAGCCAGCGACAGTAGAAACAGGTGCGGAAATAAACACCCCACCCCCCGAAAACCAAGAGGGATGGAACACTGTGGACAACAAGAAGAAGCACCATCCGTCCAAGGAGCAGGCAAACCAGCTCAATCGACCTGTCAAATTCAAGGTGAAGTCTTACGGGGACCACAGAACCTACTATGGGGTTGTTTCATACCTGGAATCACGACACAACCTGAAGTTCAAGATATGGTTCAACTTGAGGGGAGAACCAATATTGACTCCTCTCAACAAGGAAATGTATACCACCTTGAAGAGAGTCATGGAGACAGATCGCTCATTCACCCTGGAGGAACTGGACTCTCGGCAGAAGATCACCAAGGGTGTAGTGATGCGATACGCTGATGATGCCCATCGAGGCAGTAGCAGCTCACCCCAGTGTGGTGTCAGCTCAACGTCTCAAGGCAAAGACGGCAGGCAATGCACCAACCCGACAGGTCCTCATTCAGCATGTAGGACCACTGCCATCCCAGCTGGACCTCGGTTCTTGGGCAGGTACGATGTCAGGACCTTCACAGCAGAACCAGTTCGCTGTTTCAAGTGTCAGTGTTATGGCACCTGGGTGCACTCTGTCCGAACAGAGTAATCTGCGGTGTCTGCAGCCTAGCACCACCCTACCGAGGAATGCACCACCAAGCTGAAAAATGCATCGCCACCCACTCCACAATGCCCGAACTGCAGGCAGAAACACCATGCCTGGAATCCTCGATGCCCCGAGAGGCTCGCCAGAATTCAAGAAGTCTGGAAGACGCCAAAAACTCGGCAACAGGCTACGACGGATCATAACTCTCAGCAAACGATGGGTGCAGAGAACCCTGCCATACCGCAGATCTCTCAGCAGCTAACCCAAGTCAATGCCCAGGAATTCCCAACCCTAGAAGCCTCAACCAGGCGTCAAGGTCAAGAACCTCCTGCACCCCTACCTCAATGAAGAAACAGAAACAAGAGGAACAGGAGGCTTCAACAGGGTGCATCTGGTCAATGCGATCAGCAGACGGCACTAAACGAGCCCCCACCGGCCATAGCACGACAACGCAGGCACTCCTTACCCGGCACAGGCGCTTTGCAGACTCAACTGGCACCTCACCAGCAGATCCCGGCTACCCAACCTGGTATACAGCAACAGACCACGGTGCATACAATAAAGAAATCCAACCCTCAGCAGTCCCTACAGACCACAACAACCCAGATAATATCCACTCTTTCGAACCCAACTCCAAAGCAGGCCCTCACCAGGGAGGATCTCGTAGCACTCATCAAGGTGTTCACAGATCTTATTTGCAACACAATCAACTCCACGGAACAACAGAGCGCATTCCGGCAGATGGTCAGTACGCTCCTGAGAGTGTGCTTTCTGACCGAAGAGGAGACAGTGGATGCCATGAATTTGCAGGTTCTCAGAGCGGGCAGGACTCAGTCTCCAGCTCAGGAAACAACATCGATGGAATAACTTCGGTACCAAATCACACCCTCAAGGTCCTACAGTGGAACATTCAGGGCCTGAGGGGCAAACAGCACCTCTTGCTGGAGGCAGTAATTCGGGATCGGGTTGATATCTTCTTGCTACAAGAAACTCTGACTGTCCCGACTATGTGCCCAAGACTACCCGGTTTTGCTGGGTATTTTCGGCACATGGACCCGGGCGTTCACTGCAGAGGCACAGCTGTATTTGTATCCAATACAATACCTCACGAGGTTATAGCCAACCCTGTGGACTGTGGGGAGGATGTCGAGGTACAGGCCATCCTCGTGCACATACCTGGGGCGCCCATTACCATCTATAACATCTACAAGAACCCAAGACACACCCTTGACATTGCAGAGCTCCTGGCACTAGCACGCACTGAGTGTATTATTGTGGGTGGAGATTTCAACGCACATCACCCAATGCTGCACTCTCACTCAGCAACCAATGCTGCTGGCAGACACATAGCAATGCTCCTACACGATATTCCAGAGGTAAAGTTGCTAAACAATGGAGACCCCACACACCTGTTGGGTGGCTGCCTCGACCTTACCTTCGGGTCAAGACAACTCGCAGCAGGAGCCACATGGGAAACTCATCCTCACCTTGTCAATGACCACTTTGCAGTGATCACCACCTTCAACATCAACAGGCCTCCCACAGTTGTGCTGCCTCCTAGATGGGACGTAAAGAGGGCCAACTGGAAGGTGTTCCAGGATTATCTTCATGACTGGTGGTCCACATACTCTCTATCTGAAGACTGTGATACGGCTGAACAGGAGCTAATCACTGTTCTCATCCAGGCAGCAGAGTGCGCAATTCCAAAGAAGTCCACAGGACGCACTCACAAAAGAGACTGGTGGTTCTACAACGACGAAGTGCGGGAGCAGAACCACCGCATCAACTCTTTTAGGAAGCTATACATGCGTAACCCTACGGCAGAGAACAGGAATACTCTGAGAGCCATTGTGCAGCATGCCCGCAGAGTCTCTCAGAGTAAAAACTGAGAAATGGCTGGAGTGGTGCTCAACATTCGGGCATCACACCACCTTACCTGAGATATGGGGCAAGCTCAACATAGCAAATGGCAAAAGCAAGCCGAGGCCACCAGCACACCCGAACCCATCCCAGGAAGCTGAGAAACTAGTGGAGCTTTTCACTTCCAGGGGAGCATCCACTCAGCTCCCACAGGACATCCGGAATATACAGACGGATCTTCTGCCACAGCGCCAGCTAACAATACAAGCTGCATGTGAGTCGGAAGATGTGACTGATGAAGACCTCACGGACTTGGAACTCCGACGTGCCATTAAGAACACAGGTGACACTGCCCCGGGCATCGATGGTGTTACATACTCCATGATTGCACGGGCTGGGCAGAGTGGATGGGAGGCCATACTAGACGTCATTAACAAGTCGTGGAGGGCCAGGACACTCCCAGCAGCTTGGAAGAAAGCTACCATCGTACCAATTCCAAAGCCCAAGGACCCAGGCAGTATGAGACCCATATCGCTGACCAGCTGCTTAGCCAAGACTGCTGAGAGGATGGTGTTAAACTGCCTCCTATGGAAACTTGGACCCTCTCATCATCACATATTTGGCTTCACCAAAGGAGTGGGTACAGCAGAGTGCATAACCACTCTACTAAGCCAGATTGCTGACAGTAACAAAAAAACCTAGTATTGTCGTCTACCTCGACTTGAAAAGGCATTTGAGCTAGCCAGCCCCACAGCAATTCTGGCAATACTAGCTCGGAAGGGAATCAAAGGACGCCTTCTGGCCTGGATAGAGTCCTACCTTAGGGGCAGGCAGGCCTGTGTCAGCTTTCAGGGACACTACTCTTCCTTTAAATCCCTGGAAAACGGTATGCCACAAGGTGTGCTCAGTCCTACCCTGTTTAACATCCTTATGCAGGAACTTGTGAGCCTTCCCTTTCATAGTGGTACACAGCTCCTCAGCTATGCTGATGATCTTGCACTCGTAGTGAATGGGAAAGGCAATTTAGAACGACAGGCTCAGAGAGCTTTGGACCTAATTACGCAGTCTTGCAAGGAACTAGGCCTCAAGATCTCGGCCGAGAAATCTCTTGCAATGATGTTCAAGGGACCAGATCCTGTGAATAGATTACGTATTCAGGATATAGAACTTGAGTGGACAGGCTCCTACCTGTACTTGGGAATCTACATTGATAAAAAGCTGACCTTTCAGAAACAGGCCGAGTATGTCAGGTCACGTGCTCTACTCAGACTCAACGCCATGAGAGCCATGACGAGGCACCGTGCAGGGGCAAGCAAAGATGTACTTCGCTTGTACTATATACAAGCTATACGCTCGCTCATTGACTACGGTGCACCGGCGTTAGCTCATCTCTTCCCGCAGAGCAGGCAAAGAGTGGAGGTCGTACAAAATCAGGCGATAAGAACTATGCTTGGGGCCCCCATCTGGACAACACAGTATGTCTCAGATCTGAGGCCCGGCTTCCTTCCTTGGCTGACAGAGTAAGATACATAAACGCCTGCAAAGTGGCCACGATTCTGCACAGGCAGCAAGGTACCCCACTAAGGAGACGGATATTGACAACCATGGCACAAGATCCACACTCTTCACGGACTACTCCTGGATTCGTTCGTTTTGTGCTGCTGGGCGGAAGCTGCTGCCTATACAACTACTCCTTGAGAAGAGTTGTGACCTTCCTGTTGCTGGGTACCATCCACCACCTCCTGGCGCCAGACCAGCCAATGTTTGCATCATGCAGCTACCCATCCTAAGCGTCTCTGCAGTCAAGACACTCTCAGCAATCATGCTGAGACAAGCATGGCACTGGCAGAGGGAGGCACATGTGCAGTGTATTTCACAGATGGTTCTGTAGACCCTGACAGGAAGAGAGCAGCAGCTGGACTGTACCACAATGGTCACACACAAGGCTGGCGACTCCCTGACCACTGCACGATCCTTCAAGCTGAGCTGGTGGCGATTCAGCAGGCATTGTCACATGCCCTACGACATCGACTCCGACCTGTCATACATGTTGATTCCACGTCTGCAATCAATGCCCTCTCCCATCCTCAACCACAGGACAATGTTCACCTCATCACATCGATCCTGAGCATAATGACAGCCTTAGAAGTTCAGGGTAACAGATCGACATTGAACTGGATCCCCAGCCATGCTGGCATCCGGGGAAATGAGGCGGCAGATGATGCAGCCAAGGCAGCAACAGACTATCCACATGTTGGGATTACTGTCCCAATCAGCCTACGACAGACCAAACTGGTGGCTGCCAGAGCCATGAAACTTATGGGGAGGTCTTAGGTGATACCCCATCTCAACAGTGGTACCGAGCAGCGACTCAGGGAGAACCCCCTTCATATGATAGAAGCTGGTCCAGAGCGCAGTGTACCGCCATCCGTCGGCTTCGTTTGGGCTTTCCCACAGCCAAGATGATGGTAGACAAGGCTGAGGAGGAGATGTGCCAGTACTGTCAGCACGTTGTCCAGCGGCCCCTAACACACTATCTTCTGGAGTGCGAAGTTACTGAGACACTCCGCAGGCAACTAGGAGTGATATTCCCTCCCGAAGAGGAACCAGAGATGACTGCGGCCACACTAGTGTACCATGGAGTTAACGAACCAGAGAAGCTGTTACCTGTGATAACGACATATCCTCCTCCTCGCTAGTGTCCATAGTTAGGAGTACATACGGTGTTGTCGCTTATGAGATGCACCAGTTGAACTGACCAGAAGAGTGCTTGAACAGCATATGTCGCATCAATGTAGAAACCTTTCTCCCTCGGGAGCCAGAGACGGGTCATCGCAAGATTGAGACCCGTGCCAGGACTACGGTCTTGGCGAACATAATACACACATACAGAGGGTGCTTCATAAGAGGGTGTTTCATAAGATGGTGCTTCATAAGATGGTGCTTCATAAGATGGTGCTTCATAAAAGGGTGCTACATAAGAGGGTGCTTCATAAGAGGGTACTTCATAAGAGGGTACTTCATAAGAGGGTACTTCATAAGAGGGTGCTTCTTAAGATGGTGCTTCATAAGATGGTGCTTCATAAAAGGGTGCTACATAAGAGGGTGCTTCATATGAGGGTGCTACATAAGAGGGTGTCTCATAAGAGGGTGCTACATAAGAGAGTGCTACATAAGAGGGTGCTACATAAGAGGGTGCTACATAAGAGGGTGCTTCATAAGAGGGTGCTTCATAAGATGGTGCTTCATAAAAGGGTGCTACATAAGAGGGTGCTTCATAAGAGGGTGCTTCATAAGAGGATGCTTCATAAGAGGGTGCTTCATAAGAGGGTGCTTCATAAGAGGGTGCTTCATAAGAGGGTGCTTCATAAGAGGGTGCTTCATAAGAGGGTGCTTCATAAGAGGGTTGTTGAGAAATGATTTACCAGCTAAGGTTAAAGTTTAAATATAGTGGAAATTTATCTTGGTAAGACAGCTATGGCCCACACAGCCACCCCTGCAGGCGAGGTCTTGAGAAGCTGTCATATCCACTTCCCAACTGGCTGTAATAGAGTATATTATGTGTGATTATAAATTACCCCTAGGGGGTGTTATGTCAGCATATTTCATTCACTGATTGCTGACAAACTTACGTTTGTTTACTCAAGTCCGCACCTCACTGCCGACTATAGGTTGATTACAAACTCCTTGCGGCACAAGAACTGCGCAGTTCCCCATACTACAAGAAATTCGTAACCTACCCTGCTCTTGTAGGGTGAGCTATAGTGTTCTTTACACCCTCAACAGGTATCGGTGACTTAATAGAGCTGAAGTGTCCTTGGATGTCCACGTCTTCCATAGTCTAGGAATATGCACACTGGTACACTATGTTCCCACAAGGTTTGTCTTTATTGTTCACAATCTTATCACTAAAGAAGCTGATCACACTTCTCTGTAAGTGTTTATTGTGTTTTGTGAGACACTTTGTTCACACTAACGCACGGATCAGTGTTCTTTGTTGGTTATCCTGGCATCAGTGTGACTCCCGGTAGGGTGAAAAGTAATCTCACCTCACAGCGTCCTACGCCGCTGCAATGCCTCTAGAACATAAAGGAAAAACTGACTAGTACTTTTTGCTTCCTTGCCAAACTTCCTCCATGAAGCAAAGCAGAATGCTTGATTCTTGCTGTCTTAAGCATAGACAACAATGTACACTATCTTTACCATGGTAATAAAGTAGAAGCAGGATTTTCCTTAATTAGCCTGCTAAGGTAAGAGATGGACTGTCTTTATTAAACTACACTTTGCAACACTTGACTCTTGCAAAGAGCGGCGATCGCTTGACCACGTCACATACTCGTATTGCATCTGGGATCAATTACTTGCTGTAGCAGTAAACAAAATGCTTGCCCCTTCTGAGAGGGCTGGGCCCTCAGGGGTGAATGGTGTTGAAATGGGCTGAAAGGGGCTAATATCCCCCTCCTGGAGAAAATTTCTCCACATTGGTGCTTCATAAGGGGGTGCTTCATTAAAGGGTGCTTCATTAAAGGGTGCTTCACAAGAGTGTGCTACATAAGAGGGTGTTTCATAAGAGGGTGCTACATAAGAGGGTGCTTCATAAGGGGTGCTTCATAAGGGGGTGCTTCATAAAGGGGTGCTTCATAAGGGGGTGCTTCATAAGGGGGTGCTTCATAAGGGGGTGCTTCATAAGGGGGTGTTTCATAGCACTATTTCGCACGTTCACACATTCCACTACAATTTTCAATACTTCTGCCAGTTTTGGAGGCGAGGTTTTTGTTGCCAACTCATGCGTGTGTAGAACACAGTGCATAGCAATGATGTGTGGTGCATCGGCTCTCACCAGTGCTCCAAAGCCGGAGTTTCGTCCCAGTATGACTGGAGCTCTTTCCGAACAAACTGTGTGTGTGTGTGTGTGTGTGTGTGTGTGTGTGTGTGTGTGTGTGTGTGTGTGTGAGAGAGAGAGAGAGAGAGAGAGAGAGAGAGAGAGAGAGAGACCGACCGACCGACCGACCTCCGTCGAACCTTTGAGACTGACTCACCGAACCTCTGCGGTTCGATCGAACCCAGGTTAAGAACCACTGGTCTAGACTGACAAAGGTATGCCGAGCATAAGATTCCACGAGGTGTACTTGAAAAGTGTCTATCCAGCTGATTCTTCAATGACTGTATTGTCTTTGCGCTAATAATACAACATTCATCGGTAGTTTATTTAATTCTTCTATAATTCTCATTTAAAAAATTTGCATATGTCTTACAAATTCCTTGCAGTTTCATTCATTGTTTGAATTATGGACTCATTCAGCACTTCACACAGTGGAAGAATAAGACACTTGTTCCACGCTTGGGAATCATTATTTTGGAAATGTTTCGTCAGTCAGTGGCTTCTTCAGTCCACGCAGAGAAACGATGGAAGATGAATACGAGTTTAGAGGTAATTAGTCGCTCAGCCTGGAGTCGATGTGTTCAGTCTATCAGTCTTACTAAAAGTGCAGCATTTCTTAATCATCATCTCGTCTTATTCATCATCTTGGGACTTGATGCTGGGAATTCTTCAAGGTTTGCCTAACAATAGGCCCGACCTACTTCCACTAGTGAGGTGTTGCCGCCCACTACTGCTCCACACAGTCTGTCTGCAGTATATAAGCCCCACCTCCTCAAATATGCTGCACTTTTATCAAGATTGATGGACTCCAGACTGAGGGACTGATTACCTTAAACTCATTTTCCACCGTTTTTCTGTATTGAACTGAAGATGCCACTGGCTGGCGAAATGTTTCCAGAATAGAGATTCCCAAGTTTTCCAAACTACTGACTCAAATTTCAAACAATTCATGTTTCAGTGTGTTGAAGCAATTTAATATAGCGTCAAGGTTTGAAAGAGATCATCCTGTAGTTTCCCAACAGAAAAAAAAAGTTCAGTGATTTGAGTCTTCATAAGGTTTCTTTCTGAGTGAGAGTATAAGTCTATAAGCTCTTCTCTATACTCATTCTAATATATATCCTCGTCCTGGAACCAAAACTGAGCGACATATTCAAGATGTGTTTTGTGCTCAAAGATTCTTGGTATGAAACCTTACATTCTGTTACCCTTGTGCTTACAGATAAGAACTGCTTTACTACGTTTATTAAAAGTAGGGAGCATGTCTAAGGTACTCTGAACACTAAGTACTCTTCTTGAGACACTGCACTTTTTTCCCAAAATTCATGTCATTTGCAAATTTTTCTATCTTAGATGCTAGCCCAGCCTCAAGATTATATATTATATATATATATATATATATATATTTATATTATATATATATATATATATATATATATAGATGCTAGCCCAGCCTCAAGATTATATATACGTATATATATATATATATATAATGCGAAGAGAACTGACCCAGTTCCGATCCTTGGGAGAATTCACTCCTTACGGGAAGCTATTCAGTCACATCTGTATCGAGAAACACTGTGTTCATATCTATGAACCAGTCAGTTTTCCAGGTACAAGTTTCTTCTATTACCATGTTCTGTTATTCTAGCCATCAGACATTGATGGGATACCTTGTCGAAGACTTCAGGACTTCTAGATGTACTTCTGATGGGACTTTTCCATCATAGTTTTAGTGCATGTAATTGAAAGATTCCAGTTAGTCAGACATGATCATTTGTTGTATAATTCATGCTGATTTCCCTTTATAGATTATTTTCCAAAAAATAACTATCTTGTTCCTATTATTAGTCTCCACTTTACCTAAACTTAATGTTAAGCTGATGGGACAATAGTTGAGGTCACA